TATGCTTCGTTGCAAGGGCTTTTTGCACCCCCGCTGGCGAGCCATTGGTTCGTTTTTTTATATACTGCACGAACCAATGGCCGTGCAGTTTCACTGCATGATATAAAAAAGGCTTCAGTTCAGGAGAAAAAAGGCTTTTTCCCATAGCTTAAGCAAGACGCAGTACTCGTTCCCGTATCTCAGGTAACCGAGGATACGTTAGTAACCAAGTATGTTTTATTTCTTATAAGAAGGAATTTTAAGAAACTGCATTGTGAGACAATAGTGTCATTATTCAGCTCAATTTAGTCCAATGTTGTTTCAGTTTAGTTTAAATAATGCTCCAAACTCAAGCCAATGATTGATCAGATGTTTCTGTGTGTCGGGAAGCTCAAACAGTCTGTCTCACTGTGTTGAATCAGCCGAAAGATGGTTTACTTTTAGTTGTCTCTGCATATTAGTGTTTTTACATCAGAGAAACTGCACAAGTCATCGTCAAGTGTCTCGGCGCAGAAGTGAAATCTGTTCCTCCTCTGGTTTCTGACGTTTGAGTCCGCAGCAGGCGTTAGTCCCGTAGGGGCCTGTGGTCTCCTCATTGGCTGTCATAACATCGGACTTTTCACACTGACTTATGTTGAGCAGACGCACTGATCCGTCCTGCGGGCCTGTTCGATTTCAAAGTGGCGGTCCCCTGCCAGAACAGGGCCTGTGGTGATGGAGAAGTTTACTGTGGGCCCTTCAGCTGCAGCGCTGCCCTCATCCACTTGCTCTTATATGCTTAAAATCTTACTCACACCCACGGCCTTCCAAGTTTCCATGAAAATTTGAATTATGCTTCAAATGTCAGGCTTTTCCCTTTTCCAACAACATGTGGCGATTAAACTAAGAAAGGAAAGCAGTTTAGAATTGTCATTAAATTAAAATTCACATCATCTATCTTCTAAATGCATGCTATTGTGAACAATTTATCTGTGCATGTTTCATTTTTTTTAAATAGTGTTTTAACCTCATTTAATCAATCGATGCATTTTTGTAAGAAAAATAGCCATATTTAAAATGTAATAATCAATTTAATCTAGCTTGTGCTCACTGTTGTACATGGTAGCAGCTCCGGGTGGATGACATAGGACGTCGGCGTTGTGCATGCGCCGCTCAGAAGTGACACAGCGGAAGCGCAGGGGAGAGATCAAAACAAAACAACGGTCATGAATTAGTAGTACAAAACAAGGATTTGTAAAGAAGAATGTCGGAGGATTTCGATATAAGCCAAGAGGAGACTGGTTTTCCTTTGCTAAAGTAAGGAAACTTTGCTTCCTTTTCTCCTGTAAACAAACTAGTCACATCATAGAGATTCACCGGCACATGCTCAACGCTGACATCTTACATCATCCTCCCAGAGCTGCTTCCGTGTACAACTGTTGGTGCAAGCTAGATTAAAGTGATTATTACGTTTTGAATATAGATATCTTCTTACAAAAACGCATCGATTCACTACAGGAGGCCTTTGTTCACCCCCCGGAGCCGTGTGAGGCACTTTTTATTATGGATGGATGCACTTTATTTCACTTCTTTTGGACTGATGAACTGCAACACCCGCTGACTGCCATTAAACAGCTTGAAAGATCAAACACAATTTTTTGTATAACTTCGATTGAATTCATCTGAAAAAAGCAAGACATATACGCCTAGGATAGCTTGAGGGTGAGTAAATAATGGGCTAATTTTCATTTTTGGGTGAACAATCCCTTTAACAAAAATATGTTCTAAGAACGTTTTGTAAATGTTCCTATTAAATTTATGAAACTTTTTTTTTTCTTGAATGTTCTCTTAATGTCCATTTTTTACATGTTTTTTTCTTCTTGGTTATACAAACGTCTGAGAAAACATTAATGGGATAGTTCACCCAAAAATGAAAATTATTGTCATTAAATGTCATTATTCACCTCACCCTCATGTCGTTCCAAACCCGTATGGCCTTAGTTTGTCTTCAGAACACAAATGAAGATATTTTTGATTAAATCCGAGAGTATTCTTACCCTCCCATAGACAGCAACACAACTGACATATTCAAGGCCCAGAAATGTAGTAAAGACATTGTTAAAATAGTCCATGTGACATCAGTGGCCTTGAACGTAGTAGTTGTGTTGCTGTCTATGGAGGGTCAGAAAACTCACGGATTTCACCAGAAACATCTTAATTGGTGTTCTGAAGATGAACAAAGGTTTTACAGGTTTGGAACGACACAAGGATGAGTAATTAATCACAGCATTTTCATTTTTGGGTGAACTATCCCTTAAAGGGAATGTTCCATTTTTTCATTTCGCAAATAATATGGGAAAGTTACTTTTGAATGTTCTCTGAACATTCTAAAAAAAGTAGTTAGTAGCAGCATTTTTAGAAAAAAATATGTTCCATGAACGATGTATAAATAACTTTTTTGTGCTACTGTTGGGAACGTTATTAAAGACCAGATCACTTGAAAGACAGAATGAACATTTTATTAACACCACTGGAAGAATGATTGTTCATCATTACTGGATCTTCTGGTGAAAATGACATATGGTGACATATGCAGGACTTCTCCAATCATTTAGTCCATCTAAACCCCACCCTTGTCTGAGTGCCACACCCACATCTTAACAGCCATTCAACAAACGATGCACAGTCCAAGTCCCGTCCTACAATTTTACTTTTTCAATAATGGACGCTTTTCACAAACTGTGATGATGCATTTCCACAGGTATTAACATCATAAATGTAGCAAAGGTTTTCATATAAATTTTTTTTTTTTTAAATGTATGTACATTACACTGTATTTTTTGTGTTTATTACCTTACTGTTAAATTACAGAAAACTAGTTAATGCTGCTGTCACTGTGTAATCTCTTGATTTTTTTGTAACGTCATAGACTTTATTGGAGCAAATAGGAACCCAAAAATCACATTTGTTTTTCCATTCACATTCTGAGACCCTTGTTAATGTGAAAAGGGTCCATCCATTACACTCTGATGTACATCACAATATGAAAAACAAAAGTTCTGTCACTACCTCTACTTCATTGTGACTTATTTTAATTGTCAGCTACACATGAAAACTTAGTATTCTGATTGGCCAATGGCAACATTTCTGTTGTCTTATTGTATAATGGCCAAAGAATTGCATAATATCCCTGACGGCTTATTTTTATAGTGCTGTACTAGTTTAATTTCTCTTGAATCACTCTGTGCTCTTTTTCTTGCCACATTGTAAAATAATTTAACTCAAATCATTATTTCATATTCATGTATTTTATATTTAATAAGCACACTGTAAAAAAAAAAAAAAAGATTGGAATTTAAAATAAACCCTTCTAGCCCGACATAAGACCCATGTCTTATTTTTTTGATAAGGAGTGTCTAACTCTACATAATCCTTTACATAAACTATGATACTCGGACTGGAGGATGAGTCAAGCTCTTAAGATGTTCATTTTAACTTCACATTCCCCATAGAACTGATCCATCCGCAGGGCTTTGGGATGCTTGTTTGTGTTACCATGTTAACACTCACCTGACCTTGTTTGCTCTCTCTGTCTTTCTCTGGCTCCTCAGGTATATCCAGATGATGCTGGTCATGTGTAATCCTCTACAGGTGAGTTAACCTAAAATCAAAATAACCTGTTTAATGGGCATTCCTGGTCTTATTGTGCATGATTCAATCAGTGCATGCTATTTCAAATATATTTGTCTTTGTCTTCATAATCCTACACCAAAATAGTATGAATCAATGTGGAAAGTTTACAAAAAGTTTGCATTAAATTACATTAAACCAACTTAAAAAATCATGTGAAATGTCATATACCTTCATATAGCAAAAGTTCAAATTCACTGAAATGGATTGTTGAAAAACTAAGTGACTTACTGATCATTTCATTTTTCAGTTAACATTTGTTGACCAATGGTCAGTTCACAGTGTATTAGCTAAAGTTAATATTCAGCTTTTGCATTTAACAAAATATAGCAAATGTTGAAATTAACAAACTAAGATTAATGAATTCAGTACAAGTACTATAGGGTAGTTAACTAATGTCAACAAATTAAACCTTATTGTAAAGTGTTACAATTATTTTAAATTGTCAGATGAGTTCAGAATTGTTTTCACAATGAGTTCGCTTGAGAAAAATGTCAGAATATAAGGGGAAATAAAGACTGGATGTGTGTGGTCTGTTGCCTGCAGGTGTTTGGAGTGGACGGGGTGAATTTCAGCGTGCATGTGGAGAATCAGACTCGTGTACGAGATGCCATGAGCCGGCGTCATCATCGCGTGTACCAGCTTTACAGCCGCACCAGTGGGAAACACGTCCAGGTGATCGGACGCAAAATCAGCGCCCGCGGAGAGGACGGAGACAAATATGGTAACAACACATACACACATAAGAAAGACCACACACAGGAAACAGGAAAAGACAAAGACTTGGATACTGCTGATACAGTAATTCACAGACAGAGAGAAAAAAAGCCAATGAATTCTGTTTTCTTGTAGGTTTTTGTTGACAGTCACATCATTACAGTAATATAAACCTATTATCTTAGATTTTAGCCACATCACCATAATTCCCACTGATGTCAGTTCCAATATCTACAAACAATCGCACATTTTCATACTCTAGATATCAGTATTGGTGACTGGAAATCCTCTGTCAGTCAATCAGTATCTTCGTTTACTCCTCCCCCCTTCCATCCATCCATCCCCCTCTCCTCCTCGGTTTCAGAAGCACACAATCAATGGATGTGAAAGTTGAAAGAGGATATCTGCACTCAGGTCTAACAATGGGCCTGTTTTATTCATGGGTGAATCTCACAAAAACATCTAAAATGCACAGAATGTATGAATGTAATTTATTTATTTATTTTTTGTATTTTCAGAAATACATTTTCTGAATAATTCAGCGTGTTTTTACCTCAAATTCTTATTATTGTAATGCATGGATACTTTGTAAAATTATTACAAGACTTTAATTAGCAGGTTGTTATAGTTAATGAAAACTAAAATGAAAGCAATAAAATATTCATTAATTGAAATAAAATAAATGTTAATGGAAATAAACTAAAAAATCTGAACCTACTTTATTTAGCTAATTTCCAAAGGAACATTTGATCATTTTCATTTACTAAAATAGCTAAGATATAAATAAAAATACACAAATTACTGAAAGTTTAACTAAAATTGAAATCCTAATGGGAAATACAATTCTAATAGTATGTCAGAATGCAACTGAATGAGAATGTCTTGAAAATAGAATTAATTATTATGCAAATTATGTTAGAATTCAGAAAATCTTAATGGTCCTAAAATGGGCTTTGTTTTAATTACATAAAATATAATTTCTTACTCCTTTCCTGTAAGAGTATATGACCTGGACATGATCTTTGTGAGATTCACCCTCATAATTCTTTCATTCTTTATTGTGAAAATATTATTCAGAAAGCTTCCAGAGAGCTTGAGGTTTTGTGATCGGCTCTCCTCATCAGGAAATAAAGGGAAGAGAAAGACGGGGAGATAGGAAGGGGGTGAGGATGAATATATTTACACAGCGAATGAGGGATGTCTGGATGAGGACAGATTGGAGGAAGACAAAGAGGTTATTGATCTCCGGTGACCCCTGCGCTCATAAAGGTCACGCAGGAGCCATTTCAGAGCTTCGACTGCCATATCCTGAAACACACACACACACACAGGCTGAATGACCTCACTGGAGGCTGACAGTGAACTGTAGCTGGAGGCTTTTATAATGCAGTGACAGAGACGCTGATCAGAATAGCATACTGCTATACTACTCATATTATTTCTACAGCATATGTTATGCATGTTGACCCACCATTGTCAAAATGTATCCCATAATGCCAGGCCCGGATTAAGAATTCAACTGCTGATGTCATTTATATTCAGCTTGATTTGGCTTTAAACCATCAGGTTATCAGCCCTCTGTCTCCTTCTCAACTGTTTTTAAAGGAACACTCCACTATTTTTTAAAATAGACTCATTTTCCAACTCCCCTAGAGTTAAACAGTTGAGTTTTACCATTTTCGAATCCATCCAGCCGATCTCGGGGACTGGCGGTAGCACTTTTAGCTTAGCTTAGCATAGATCAATGAATCTGATTAGACCGTTAGCATCTCGCTCAAAAATGACCAAAGAGTTTAGATATTTTTCCTATTTAAAACTGGACTCTTCTTCTTCTACACGATGTAACTACAGAAGAGTCCAGTTTTAAATAGGAAAAATAAAGAAACTCTTTGGTCATTTTTGAGTGAGATGCTAACGGTCTAATCAGATTTAATGATCTATGCTAAGCTAAGCTAAAAGTGCTACCGCCAGACCCGGAGATCGGCTGAATGGATTCGAAAACGATAAAACTCAACTGTTTAACTCTAGGGGAGTTGGAAAATGAGCCTATTTTCAAAAATAGTGGAGTGTTCCTTTAATAGTGCCAGTCAAGGCAGATGCTCAAACAGATCCATTGCATCAAATTATAAACACAATTTTTTTACATCATTGCAAAACCAGAGCTCACAGTGATATTTTAGTAACGTCTGTCTGTCTCTCTGCCTGTCTCTTTACAAGCCCAGCTCGTAGTGGAGGCAGACACCTTCGGCAGCCAGGTGCGAATCCGAGGGAAGGAAACTAATTATTACCTGTGTATGAACCGCAGAGGGAAACTCGTAGGCAAGGTATACTTCACTGCTGATTTCTTTCACTTTCTTTCTTTCCTGTATCACCTATTGAAACAAAGTTGAGGCAGGATATGAATATAGAACTTGTCACGTTTTAGAAGTAGCCATTTCTTGCTTCTGTGGAGCAAAAAAGAAGATATTTTGAAGAATGTTGGTAAACCAATGGTTTCGTGTTCCATAGTATGGACAACAATGCCATGAAAGCCAATGGGACCCGAAGCTATTTGGTTACCAAAATTCTTCAGAATATCATCTTTTGTGTCCCACAGAATAATGTCAGTCATACAGATTTAGAAATAACATGAGGGTGAGTAGATTATGCAGATTTTTCATTGTTAGGTGGACTATACTTTTTTTTTTTTTTAAAAGACCAAATTTGCTTGTCTGCTACAATATTTTATTAAACTATGCTTTCAAATAAGGTAAAACAGCTCATCCCTAATTATTTTGTTACCTTACCAAGTGTCATTTTTATTTAAGCACCAATATATGAATTTCTAGTTATGGCAAGAGCTAAAATATTTTATCAGGTAAAAATGGCTGAGAAATTGCTGTTGTGAGTTAAAAAAATTAACTGGAATTTTTTTTAACTTGTGGAATTATTAAATTAAATTAAACATTTTTAAATGAAAATAAAAATTGTGTTGTTATTATATAAATGACTAATTTTTTTAAAAATTGCAAAAAGTAATGAAAAATAAACTGTAAAAATCCTGTAGTGAACTACTGAAAATTCCATTTTGAAACTTGTGGAATTAAATTATCATTATTATAATTATTTTAATATATTAGCACTCATAGTTTGTGTAAACAAAAATAAGCAAATTTGTCAATACAACAGAAGTAACAAAAAAGGATACTGGTAATTTGCTGTTTCTAAGTTTACAGACATTTCTTAACCCTAAAACACAGTGTAATGCATAATTCAAAACATGAGGAAAAACTCCTGTGAAAAATCAATACATTTCCTTCACATTAACACAGTACATTAAGTCCTATTTTACATTGTGTAATATTAGCCTACATGGAATCAAAAAGATTGAGAACAACTAATGCAGGAAATCTCAAATCTAACAATCATATCTGCGAATTGTAGTCCATGTTTGGGATCTTTAAATGCATTAACATACAACGTTTATGGTCAAGCTAACACATTTGTCTCCATGTGTGTGTATGGACTTTTCGGTCTCCCCAGAAGGCCAGCAATCGTAGTGCAGACTGCGTCTTCATCGAGAAAGTCCTGGAAAACAACTACACAGCGCTAATGTCGGCGCGCTACACTGGGTGGTACGTGGGCTTTACCAAAAGAGGGCGCCCTCGCCGTGGTCCGCACACGCTTCCCAACCAGCAGGACGTCCACTTCATGAAGCGTTTCCCACCCGGAGAGCAGCCGGATTTAACACCGTTCCGCTTCACCACCGTCAGCAAGAGGAGCAAGAGAGTCAGAGCGGCACGACCGCGCTAATGCCGATGCCAATGTCCCACTGCTAACGTTTACATGAGGACGAGGAACAAACCAAAAGACAGTCCCAGTGAAAATGACACTACTAATGCGAAGCAGGACCGTCTTGTCTTATTTGAACAGACGATGTGATAGCATCACTTTATATTCCACTGGGTTGGACCTCTACAACCCTAATAATAAATACTAGCTAAATTACACCAGAGCTGTGGTTAAGACAGCTTACTTCAGACACGGCGATGACTAACCAAAGCAAACACAAGCAAACGTCTGGCCCAGCGGATGAGCGGAGGAAGCATTGGGCTGTGCATCCAGTGAGCGGCCCACAATGAAGACATGAAACAAAACACAAGCACATTGGCCTGTAGACGCCGATCGTGTGGCAACTTTCCTAAGACAAGACTTGGACGTGATCCCGCCTAAGGGAGAGGAGCAGAAATCCCTGAACCTGCGGAAGAAAGAAAGAAAGATTGGAAACTAAGACAGAAGGGCTACTGTTATATGGGAGCTCCTGGGATAAGACCTGCCCTAAAGGATACCCTCAGACAAAAATGAAAATTTGGGCATCATTTACTCACCTCAAGTTGCTCCAAACCATATGTTTTTTTCCCCACTGCAATAGAGAATAGCATGCCTGTTTTTCAGACTAGAGTTCATAGTTAACATGTCTGTCAAGCTCTCGAAAGGACAAAAAAAAACACCATAAAAAGTTCATTATGACACATGCATTATATTCCAGGTCATACAAAATCATGCAACAGCTTTAAGCTATTATTAATTATTATAGCTTAATAAAATGCAATAAATATTTTGTTATTATTTAATCTATATGAATATTATTATTCATAAAAATGAAATTTACTATTATTTTTTATGACTTTTGCATCAGTGACGTCAAAGTATTGGAACGATTTTGAAACAATGGAAACACAAATTCATGTCCATATTACAACAGTTCGACAATAATAACTTAAATTTGCAAAAAAAAAACGGTATAAGCGTCAGATCTTTACTTCCATATTGCGACGTTCATTTAAATGTATTTGTAGACATGGAAAAGTAATGGAAATTAATAAATTATCAAAAAGTCATGGAAATTTAATATATATATGTATATATATATATATATATATATATATAAAATTAGTTGTGATGAAATTTACAAAATTGAATTAGTTGTTAATTAGTTAATTTAATTAGTTGTGATGAAACAGAAGTAGCATCAGTTCTATTCTTTTGTATTAAGTACATTTAAAAGTGTGATTTTTTGACCTGGAAATATAATAGAAATTAATAAACTATTTAAAAAAATACTAGTAATTTTTATAAAATAAAAAATAAATAAAAAAGTTGATCAAGTGCATAAAATATTTTATCAGGTCAAATTTCTATTTGTGGGTAAAATAATAATAACCATTTTAAAAATTATTTGATTATAATACCACTAGCAAAAATTTTTTCAAACAAGTAGCATCAAATCCTTTCTTCCATATTGTGAGGTACATACGGATGAAATGGATTATTGAAATAGAAAAAATGTAGGGCGTAGACTTGGTTCTCTGCATCGGTTGCTGAGTGGATGTCGAGATGTGGGTGTGGCAGTCAAGAAGAGGTGGAGTTTAAGCAGACTAAATCATCGGCGTATCCTGCATACGTCACCAGAGAGAAATCACACGTTTCACTGGAAGATCCAGTTATGAAATGATTAAACATTACTAAATAAAAACTGTTTAGAAATGCATGGATGAATCTTTCATCATAACACCAATGCATAATCATCAAACAATATGACTTCAAAGACTTGTAGTGCACTAGTCATGTGGACTACAGTTTTAGTGTTTATTTTATTTTTGGAGCTTGACAGACTCACTATGAACTGTAATTTTAAGGTGAGCAAATAATGACGGAATATACATTTTTGGCTGAACTATGCCTTTGAAGCTAATGAATAAATGAATGTAATACTGTATAAGTGTGTGTGCATGTGCGTGCAATGGCGTATTTCAGGTTGCATTAAAGACCGTGAGGGATATAATCATACATGACTTATTGCTGGATGGACAGGATTTACCGGAACTGGAATGTAAAGGATAATAATGAGGAAACTCTCTTAAAGCTGCACCAAATACAAACCAAATGACCAAAGACAAGTGGTGACCAATGACAGACACAACCTGAACAGCTCCGATCCCACGAGAGCACAGGACGGGTCGCCACAAAATGACATGAGGAGCAACGTTCCTGTTTGGATTTTAATGTGGAATGCTGCTACTGGGAAATATAACGGAGAACCAAAGTCTTATACCAGCTTATTAAAGGAAAAACATTACAAAACTTTTTCTAAATATAAATATATATAAATATATATATAGATTAATGCTGACTAAGTGATATTACTTTGACTGCTACTATCATTGTTGTTACTATAAAAGAATTCCACTTATTTATTTTATCTCTGTGTATGGCAAAAACCTTTCCAAAGCCAGTAAACTCTACAGAAACGTGTCTGTGTTTCAAAACATACATGTTGTGCGAGTCTTCATTATCATCAAACTGCTAATAAACATATGGTCAGGAATTCATGTTTTATGTAACCCGGATCATATCTACAGACCAAAATATACGGTATTACAATGTGCTAAATGCAACGCCCAGGCAACCACCCAAAACATTCCAGCAACCTCAATGTGGAAACTTTAGCAACCACATAGCAACACCCTAGCAACCACCCAGAAAACTCATGCAACCTCAAAGCAACGTAGAAAACTTTAGCAACCACATAGCAATGCCCCGGCAACCACGCAGAACATTCTAGGAACCTCAAAGTGATGTGAGAAACTTTAGCAGTCAAATGGTAATGCCCTGGCAACCACCCAGAACATTCTAGCAACCACATAGCAACACTCTGGCAACCACCTAGCAATCTCAATGTGGAAACTTTAGCAACCACAAAGCAACACCCTGGCAACCACACAAAACATTCCAGCAACCACACAGCAACACCCTTGGGCAACCACCCAAAACATTCCAGCAACCTCAATGTGGAAACTTTAGCAACCACATAGCAACACCCTAGCAACCACCCAGAAAATTCTTGCAACCTCAAGTCAATGTAGAAAACTTTAGCAACCACATAGCAATGCCCCGGCAACCACGCAGAACATTCTAGGAACCTCAAAGTGATGTGGGAAACTTTAGCAATCACATGTTAACGCCCTGGCAACCACCCAGAACATTCTAGCAACCACATATGGACTCCCTGGTAACCACCCAGAACATTCTAGCAACCACATAGCAACTCCCTGGCAACCACCTAGAATGTTCCAGCAAACACATAGGGACTCCCTGGCAACCACCCACAACATTTTAGCAACCATATAGCAACTCCCTGGCAACCACCCAGAACATTCTAGCAACCACATAGCAACTCCCTGGCAACCACCCAGAACATTCTTGCAATCACATAGCAACACCCTGGCAACCACTCAGAACACCCTGCAATGTAACAGTGAGTTTTTACACAGGCAAGTCAAAGTTCAGATTTTTTTAAATAAATAGGATTATTATTATTGTTGTTACATAGCTATTATTGTATTGTTCAAACATTAGGTATTACAGTAATAACAATTAGTTTTTATGGTAAATATAAAGAAAAAAATGGCAAAAATTGAAATAATTTTCCAAGAAAATAATAACAAATTATTACCATATTACCATATATACCATATGAAATAAAATAAAATCAAAACTTCGAAGGAATGCACTAAATATTTCTAGATGTGGACCTGTAGCTTATAACTGAAGCAGTGAACACACACACACACACATTACGGTCACCAACAACCTGTAATCCCGGCAGTCTCTGCCCAGCTGAGTCAGCGGGAAAAGCGAAGGATTCCGAGAGAGAAACAGACTGTTCTGGAGGCGAAGCGGTGGAAAGATTTGTCGGCCAAACCCAGAGGAAGGTGTATGGTAATGCTGGAGAAGGAAAGAATGCAAAATATGTGCGTGAGAACACAGGGGTGACCTGAGACCTGCTGGAATTATGGGAAAAAAATATATCCCACCGACCCACAGGAAACACTCACACCCTCCGTCTCACACACACACACGGTCCGTTACAGCCAGACACGCAGAGGTCACGCTCACACATATTCTCACACACCCTCAGTATGACACACCGAACACGTCTGACACACAGCACACCCTCAACCAGATGGACGCGCAGACCCGCTCAAGTAACGTGGCAGCTTCACACACACGGATACAATATTCTGTTATATATGGAAAATTAGCTACTAGCGAAAACCAGACAAACGAATGAATCACACAAATACTGGCAAAAACCTGTCAAGATCATATTTCACTTAAAAATCAGACAGTATTTTGCATTAAACAAAAATTAAGGCTATTTTTAAGATCATTACAATTTTCTGTATTCTGACATGATGATAATTAAACACGTTACACCCCAAAATTCTAATGACTAATTATTTTAATAAGTGCTAGAAATCACTCATTACCATAGCACAAAAATAAAATATTGAATCTATATATATATATATAGATATATATATATATATATATATATAAAACAATGACCCGGATGCAAATAAATATTATTATTATTATTAGTAGTAGTAGTAAAGTATTCAGACATGACATTTTAAAATATAAAAATTTGTGAAAATAAAGAAAATGTCAAAAGTAAATAATAATAATAATAATAATAATAATAATATAAAAACAATGTATTTATTCTAGTATTCAGACAATGCATTACAGTCCTATTTTTCAAAATAAAAATATTTGTGAAAATATAGAAAAGAAAATGTCAAAAAGTAAATAATAATGTATATAAAATAATATATTTAGAAACAATGTATTTATTTAAGTATTATTTAAGTATTCAATGCATTTATTTTGTATTACTATTATTATTATGCTAAACTTACGTAAAACTAAATATTATTTCTTATTTTACCTTTGCTGTTGGAGTGAAATACGACCTGGACATTTGCTCATGACACTCAAACACACACAACTTAACTTTTCTGTAACATGGGTAACATCTAGCCCCAAATATTCACTACTAGAAGGCCACTAATACCGCAGCGTAGAGACTGAATCCAGGTCATATTGCTGTGCAGCGAATAACCACAGCTCCATCACACACACACACACACTTTTCAGCACAGCAAACCACAACGACACTGACGCACCGCAGCCAGACCCACAATGTAAAACAACGAGCATTAAGTGCTCCTTTTCTCTCGCCGACACCACAAACAAATTACTTCTGACACACGTTCCCTCTTTCCAATCCGTGAAGACGCACAGGCCCACGATGCTAAAACTCTTCAAAGACAAATGCCCTTTTTGAAGATGTATTTGGCTGAAATGGGCTGAATCGCCTCAACATTCCCAGACAAACATTCTCATGCCGGGCGCTGGCTGTAAAGCCGGGGGAATTGTTTGAAATGGGGGAGAATCTCGAGGTGCGCCAGGAACCGCTAACAGGTGCAGCGTTTGGGATTGTTTGTTTGGGAATGTTGGGGAAAAGACGGCTTGTGGCCTCTTCTGAACCTGCCTGTGCTAAACCGTGCACTCTTCTCGCTGGTTTGTCGTGAACTTTTCCAGTCTATTCTGGACGAGAGACATTTATGCATTTAAATGCTTTAGTTTGCCAAGGAAAACCCATTGAGGACATATTAACATTTCCAAGCATAAGTCCACCCAGGGGTGAAGG